GCCCCCTAAACCCCCCCCCCTCCCTCCACGGCACCCCCCGGTCTATTTCAAAAGCCAATAGCAGGCTGGCTATTGCACCCGCCCACTGAGTAGAGGAGTGGGACTGAGGGACAACTTTCTCACTCAGGTCCGCTGCTCTGCTCGGTGGGTGGGGGGGTTTCAATAGCCAGCCTGCTATTGGCTATTTCAAATGAAAATAGCCAAAAGCAGTCTGGCTATTGCTCCCGGCTGCTTACATCCACCTGTCCCCTGCGGAAGCTAGCCAGCAGGAGCATGGGGCCGTGAAGGGGGGATTGGGGGTTGTGCCACGGGAGGCTGGGGGCGCAAGTAGCTGGTCTTGCCTAGGGTGCAAAATAGTCTAGCACCGGCCCTGCTTACGGCAATATTGTCCATATTGGAGAGATACAAGAGCACTCTGCTTGCCCTCACAATGGATAGTTTTACAGAGTACAAGGGGCGTTGACTGTCCCCTGGCAACATGAAGGTTTTAGATTTGGAATGATTCATTAACATTACGTGCTGTATCATCATATTTACAATAGGTTGCTGTACACAAAGAATTCTTTATGAAGGTGCGATGGGAAAACAGGAAAACTGACCGTTGTGTTGAACAAAAAGCTTGAGCGGCATTGCCTTGGGCAAAGTACTCAATGAATGAACAGGTGCAAAAAAAAGACAAGAAAGGTGACACGTATGCCATACCCTAAGGGCCTCACCTAACCCAATGCCCCACGCAGTGGCGTAACAATCACCATAGCGACCCAGGCATCCGCTATTGGGCCCGAGGCACATGGGGACCCAGCCGGGAACATCCCCCTTGATGTCATGCGGGCCGCCTGGGTCGCTATGGCATCTGGGGCTGCTGGCTGTCACTGGCGGGTGCGAGGAGAAACGTCTGCCTGTTAGATCACCGACAACCTGCCAGTGATGTGTGCAGCGGCGCGTTCCTCCTCACAGCCGCTGCTGAGTCAGTGACAGCCAGCAGCTGTGGAGGAGGAAGGCTGGGCCTGGCGGCGGAGGAGGCGGGCCCGGCAACAGAAGAAGAGGCAGGGCCCCGGCAACGGAGGAGGCGGGGCCTGCCAGCGACCATGGGGGCGGAGAGCCGATCAGGGGGTTAACAGTTAGAGGTGTGCAGCCCCCCTGAGACCCTGCAGAGCCCACCAGAGTCTATGGTGGGCTCTGCAAGGTCATTCTCAGGTGGGCTTGTTGGTATATCAGGTGGGTTCTGCAAAGGGCATAACTAGAAATCACACGGCCCCATACAAAATTTTGCTACGGGGCCCTGTGATTTCTAGTTACGCCCCTGGCCCCACCCCAAGGACACCTCACTGGAGTGTAGAAAGTTTGATTTTCCATTGGAATAGCTCAAAAGTTCATGCAGGTAAAGTTTTGCCAAATCTGAAGCAAAGTTCACGTAGGTAAAGGAAGATTAAATCCGAAGCAAGATGGAGTCAGGTAAAGAGCAAAATTGCAGTCACACTGGCGAGCGCCATCAGGGCCGGATTTCCCACAAGGCCAACCAAAGCCTGGCCTTGGGGCACCATCAGGGCCGGATTTCCCACAAGGCCAACCAAAGCCCGGCCTCGGGGCACCATCAGGGCCGGATTTCCCACAAGGCCAACCAAAGTCCGGCCTTGGGGCACCATCAGGGCCGGATTTCCCACAAGGCCAACCAAAGCCCAGCCTTGGGGCAGCAGGGAGTAGAGGGGCAGCAGGGAGTAGAGGGGCAGCAAAGGTGTGGAATTCCTATCTCGGAACACCCGTGACATGCAGTTCCGGGTGCCGGGCGGGTAGTTTTTTCTACATTTAGCCCTGCTTTGGGCAAGCAGAGCTAAATGTACAAGGT